AACAGTTTACGCTATAAATTATCGAGTGATCTAGAAAACGTAATCGTTTACAATGTCTAATTAACTTTAAAGGCCGCGCCACGTCAAAAAGCGAAACCGATTCATGTTGATTGCTGCTACAGGCATAGTAGAACTTAATGCAGTAGGACTATTGAAAAAAACAGCTGTTGGATGCGGTACGAATTCTCTTCAAGTTAGACCGGAAAGGTTAGGCAAACTTCACTCGTAACGCATAACGACACACTTCAAACTCGCTAAAAAACTTGACTCGTTATAAAACCGTATAACAAAGCCGTGTTACAAATCGGTGTAAAGTTTAGGACAACTAACACAAGCGATCGTCAACCTCTCAGGTTGCAGCTCAGCCGACCGCCTGACAAGAATGACGTCAGAGGACCGGCAGCGGACCGCCTGACGATGATGACGTCAGAGGATCGGCAGCGGATGATGACGTCAGAGGATCGGCAGCGGACCATCTGACGATGGTGACGTCACAGGATCGGCAGCGGACCGTCCACGAGCTCGCCGTGCGGACAGTGATGTCAGTGACAGCGCACCATACGCGCAGCCGCCAATCGCTGGATGGAACAGTACCTATAGTATACGCGCAAGTCGCAACAAAGGAGCGAGCAGCAGGTGCCGCCTAATGAGCAATCTAGAGCCGGCCAACTTCGTTAGGCGCTGCAGAAATGTCGCTGCTTGGAGACGCCCTGTCATACACTGCTAACAGCGCGACAACAGCAGTTTGTATTTCAATGTCCTAGCTTCAAAATGGACTCGCAGCGAGTCCATTTGGTGGCTAAATATTCACGCATTGCAGACTGCAGGCACTGCGATGCACCTAGGCATTCCATTGAAATACACATACCATTTGTGTGCAATTGGAATGCCATACAGTTTGCATTTTTGCATTTTAATACGCTTTCGTTTACTCCAATACGCATTTATGGCATGTGGGAGATATCAGATATTTGGGATACGAAAATGATTTGAAATTGTAATGGCCAGCCTTTTGAGTACCTAGTGGAATGAAGTCTTCAACAAGTATGCGGGCTATCCAGCAGAAGTCATCTATCAGAAGTTATATTACATAAGGGGTAGGTCGGTGGAACACCACCAGATAAGATGTTAACTTAAAAGTGAGAACAGCATGGGCAGCTGAACATCGAATCCGTTATCCCGCAGTCGTGTGTCAATGAAGAAAGGCGGAAAGAATGAGTAGGTACAGAAATAGGACCATCGAGTGGTCATGATCAGGTGGGAAAGCGAGCAGCGACCGGTTACCGTCTCTAAGTACATGGATCATACCGCACGAGGGGCCACGTGGCTAAGCGGATGAAGGAAGTGGCGGGCCGGTTTGCGGCCCGGCTGTGTAGCAGTAACGACTTTGGCTAGTAGCTCGTCGAGAGGACAAAGTATTCAGCTGACACGAATACATGAGCGGCGCAGTGCATACGCGGGACCCGTGCCCCAGGGCTTATACATGCATTCAGATACGGAGGCTGACAGGTAAAGTTCGAGCGGCTCAATTCCCAAAGGTCGCGACGTCGCGCGGCGAGGCGGACATGGGTACTGTCTGACCGGGAAAAGTTTGACGTGCAGCGCGGCAACCTTTAGCGGCGGTGATCTGGGTCGACCGAGCGGCTATTTTGGGGAGTCCCAGACGAACGGACAGACGCCCGAGAGAGGAGGGAGGGACGGAGAGGGGAGAGAGGACCAGCAGGGACAGATCTATGGGAGATGATACCAGTGGGGAGCAAGGTGCCGGGGTCCGCGGCTAGGCAGAGACTGCATGTACAGTTACAGAGAGTTCGTCAGAAGGGTTGGCTGATGAGTGGTGCGGGCATTTAGCAAGATGAAGTTTCGGCTTTCTGCATTGCATCTTCTCATTTAATACAAAAAGATTGGTCTTGTAACGTAAATCACCAGCATGTCACTGTCAAAGGATATGTGGTTTGGTACAAGGGAGCGTTGAGTCAATTTGGGAAATATCCATATAAAATACCTACAACCCACTAAAAGGGTGTTTTTTTCAGCTCAGCAACTTCACTTCCTCACCCCTTACGAACCAAACATGGAACAGAAGCGGCCCTCCACTTCCAAATAGTCTGCACCCATCACGGAACGGCGGCCTTCTCTCCGTTTCCTCATTTTCATGAACTAGCGCCGAGGCCTCCCCTCCAGTCTCCGCGGCCCTCAGCTCCCATCCCGCCCTGTTCCACGTGCAGCTCCCCATCCGCCGGTTCCCTGAGCACCTTCCCGGCGGCTGTACGGCGCCGTGCACGGGTATCGGTGCAGAGCGATCAATATCGGCTATTTGGGCGGCGTAAAACCTGCTCCGGAGGGAGGCTGGCAGACGGCAACTGAGACTGGCCGCCGCCGCCGCCCTAACCCGGCCGCGAGGTCGGGGGCAGTCGGGTGGTCACGCCGAGTGTGCGGGCTGCGAGCTGTGGCCTCCCAGGAGGAGATAAGATATACTCGTACAGGGTCGTACAGTTGTTCGTACAGTTAAAGTTCAGCAGAATTGGAGGGATTGATAGAGGAGTTTATTGAGGCAGCTGACGGAGAGTGACGCGACGAAATATAGCCTGGGCAGCAGAAATAAAAAACATGAAAACGGTTTTTAAGGTGAAAAACTAACTAAAAACATGAAGAGCAGTCTGAAGCCATGTTGCATGGTCTGAACTACTTCAGCGAGTAATATATTACTGAGGCGTAGCGTGGTAAGTTCCAAGCTCAGGTAATTATTCCCATGACAAGCGGCTGAGCTAAGCCGATCGGAAAAGAATCGGCGCTGGATCACTACGACTGTCAGCGATTGCCAGTGCCTAGTAGGTACCCGCGGGGCACTGTAACTGCCGGTCATCGCTGGGCTAAGCTCGGGGCACTGCTTCTGCTGGCGATTACCGTATATGCACTAAGCCCACGGGGACCTCGATTGCATTAGCCAATCCCTGCGCTGAGCTTGGGGCCTCCCACGCAGCCCTTTCCGCTGGATCCACAGTACCAGGATGGCCTTTATCTTCGGACTAAGGTGCGTCGTCAGTCCGAGCAGAGTGCGACTATACGAGCACAATGGTCCCGAATGGCCGCTGGTGAGACGCCGGGACGCACGGGAGTGGATGAGAACCGACGGGGGTTTACAGTGCTCTATGTAGACTCGGCCGAGTAAGCGCTGAGCCGTGCTCAGTAGATAGGAGGGGTAAGATGTGAGTTGGAAGCGCACCTGACTTGCTGGTTTATTTTCGTCAAGGCGCATCTCAGTGGAATGAGCTTGGAGATAGCTTTGGTCCAGAGCTCCCAAGAAAATATTCCACACATACTCGATCTAGCGTCAGAATAACTAACATGAAGTTTAAAAATGTAATATCATTATGACCGTAATGTGTTCAAAGGATTCCTTCACCACTCCCAAATGGGTGCTTGCACTCAACGTGCATCGAACTTGTAATTCAATGTCGGACACGTTGATGCATGCATCTCAATGGCACAAGGCACATACTCGCTTTGAACATGCATGAAAGCGTGCGTTATGTACTGTTTGGAATGTGGCCCTAAGGCGGTGCATATTGATTCAGTTCAGGCCCGACGCTATTGCACAGCAACATAACATTCAGCTGTAAATTCATTTCACAGTAAAACTCTTATTGATAGTAATACCCGTGCGGGTATAAGGCGGTAATGGTAGTGTCCAATGCGTTGGTTTTACGAGTCCATTTACTGAATAAGTTATTAGCACACATGGTGCATAAATCATGCCGCCACATAAATCTGCACTATCATGATAATATATTTGGTACGCCACGGCCCGACATAATGGGTGCCGCCGGCGGGCTGCCCGGCTCAAATCTGTCCACGGAGCGGGGAGTTGATTCGCTGAGACGGCCGCGGAGCCGCCGCCCGACAGCTCAATCCTGGGTAAATCACAGGGAGAGGGGCGCGCCGCTCCGGCCGGCCACACCTATTATCTGGTGCGACGTTCGGGGCGGGTGTGGGAATCAATACGGTCAGGTTCACCGGTGGGTATTGATCGTACTGATCGCCAACCGGTCCGGCTTCGGCGACACCTCGACATCCTGACGACGTCCTCGACGTCCGGACGACGTCCGGACGACGCCCGAGGTCCGGAGACAGGCTGGACGAAAGGCAGGGAGGAGGTGGTAGGTACTGCCCGCCTAAATCAGTCCCGCAATCATTCATCGGTACAGTCGTGTACAGGTTGATGGTCCCCTACTCTTTATCCACCGGGTTCCTATGGCTCAGCATTGGCAGCAGCCGCCTGGTACCGGTAGGCTGTGCCGCATGACTGGAGAGTGAAGCGGCACAGTCTACCCACGCCGTTTGACATCGGCTCGGGTCGCCGGGTGGAGCGCTTTGTAGACCAGCTGTCACAGGGAGGCACCGGTTCTGACGTCACACGAAAATATCAGTCGGCTGGTTGTGGCACTGCCCCCTGCCGGCGGGACTGTGCTGCCACCTAGCTAAGCCTAGTCAGCCTAGGACGGGACGGTTTTATTTGTTCTCGTCTAGTGGTGCAGCTTGCGACGACACTCGGTCGACATAGCTGTGCTGCAACATACCCCAGGTTCGGAGTCTCTCGGACGGCCAATCCTGTTCTATAACCACAGCTAAATCCCCGCTGACCTTAACCAGGATTGGCCGGACGACGTTGAATCTTCGTAGTTCGAGAGACACCGAACCCGGGGATAGTCTATCGAAGCCTTGGCGGCTGAAGAAAGGCTAGACATATCTCACTTGATTTTGGCGTGGCCAGCCTCACTTCTGTAGTTTTGCTTCACAGAATTCTGCGTCCTATTGAGTTCCCGGTTACGTAGTACACGACCACGCTCAGGAACTCGATGTTTCTTAGATACATCACGTAATGACAAACTTTTGGCAGCATTTACATTGGTTGCCTGCATATTTTGGTGAGGAAAAATCGCTATCGCAGTAGTACAGTCAAGACATACCACAAAGGATCAGAGCTAAAGCAGCATTACTAACCAAAAGTGTATTGCATTGATCACCAGCATGTTCGTAAAATAAAATACATCAGGAATAAAGATGACAACCAAGCCGCATGGACACTTATAACAAACATGAACGATAAAGTGGCAACACAAATGAAAGAGAGAAGATGAATCTGCCCTTCGCAATCGTCAACTTAAAATAAAACTTCAAATATACAACAGACCTCTGTGCATTAAAAGAACACGAATGTACTCGCTTTGTCGTCGACACATAATGGGAACATCCTGGCGGCCCAGCCAAACAGCGCGCCCGCCTTCGAGTAGGAAATAGCAGCGGCCGCAGAAGTGGCCAACAGATAACTACCACATTGTTCGTCACGCCACCTGCACTGAAACGTAACAGCTATTTAATCGTGAAATGTAGCTATCCATCCAAAAATGCTGCACTACACCAGCACCACCGCACAGTTAGCAGATAGGTACGGAACGCAGGTCCTGGTCTCTGTCTCTTCCGCGAGTAGGGTCTCCGGACCGGTCACCAGCGCCACCATCTCCGCGCGGTAGCTAAAGCACAGCTCTCCGGCCGGGGCCCGCAGTTCCTCGGCCTCTTCGTCCAGCCTTGTCCTTGTTTTGACGTGAGTGAATGTGCAAATGTTTTGAATGATTAGATTAGCAGCCGCGGATACGGATTCTGAGCAGTAATCGCCACGCACTTTGTATGCGGATCGCTCTTAACCCTCGCCCGCACATGGGGGGGGTGGTTGCCACCCCCCCCAGGCAGTCTTTCTGCTCTGCACTCAACATTTTTAAAGCTAGAAAGCTGATTTTTCGTATAGCTGCTCGTCTATCCTTTCTTGATGTCCACTGAAAATTTCAAGTTTCTGTGGTTTTTGGTTTCGGAGATATGACCTTGTTTTTCAGGTCATGTCATGACCCAAATGGCCAATTCTCAACATCTTGCGTTTGCCATGGGTCTTGTGAGCTTTTGACACCCTGATTTCGGCCTTTTTTGCCAGTCTTACCTCCCACCTATCATGGAACATGTTGTTCGACGATGTACAGGGGTCAAGGTCAGGGTCAAGGTCAACCTAGGTCATCTAAGATAATTGCGTTTTAGGCAAGCTGAATTTACTTTTTGTGAATTTTTTTGACTGCATTTTTGGTAAAAGCTTCTCAGATCATGATTTCATGTGATATGGACCCAAAAACGATCGGTGCACACATCAGTATACACACAGACACACACAGACATACAAACACATATAATTGACCTTGACCTAACTTGACCTGAAATGACCTCAGCAGCAAAATTCTGGTCGGATAGTGTGACAAAGAGGTTCTAGCTGGCTTGGCACCAGAAAACAGCATCGTCATCGGTATTTGATAAGCAGCGCACTTGATATCCAACGGTGACCCAAAACAGCAACATTTTTTAGTTTGACCTGACCTGGAAGGTCAATGACTGACCTGAGAAGGTAAAACTGGGTATCATTGGATTCGTCTTTTCCCAAAGAATCTTTTTGGTCTTTACTGCTAAGCTCTATCTCCAACAGGAACGAAATGGCGCGGGGGGGGTGGCAACCACCCCCCCCATGTGCGTTCTAGGATGGGAAAATGGCATGTGCGGGCGAGGGTTAAATGTAAATACAAATACAAATACAGCCAGACCAGCACGGCTCCCGCCCAGCACCTGAAGACTCCGCCCTCCGCAGATCCGTCCGTCCAAAGCCGGACAGCACACAGGGGCAGGAACGCGAGGTGCAGCGTAGCCACGATTTCCCTTTCCGCCGCCGTGGCCTCAGCCCGGATCGGGCACACGTCCAACCGGAAGGTGACGCCAGCCGTCTGTTGACACGGTGGGATTCTCGCGCTCGCCCAGGCCTGGCGGCCTCGCAATCTCCAGCCTCGTACCGAAGACAGGCGCGCCGGTGCCGAGGCCTTGGCGGTCGCGCGCAGGGGGTCCCCTTATGGCAGAGCCAGCGCCCTCCCCAGCAGCCTGGCAGCCAGCGTCCAGCTCCTCCATCGGAGAAAGTCGGGCTTCCGCCATTAGTGCGTGGCACGGTGTTGAGCGCGGACACAGGTGATGATGCGGCCGCCTCTCGCAGTCCTCGCTCCAGAAGATTCACGTGCGAGGGAGCGGCCGCCGGCAGCCACGCGACGGCAGCGTGTTCGAGCGCCCCTCGGACGTAACCGATTGGCCACCGTACTAAGGGCACCCTCGTCCAGGCCCCAGCTATTCAACCAGGTCGACGGCGCCGTAGCCGTCACTCGAGCCACGCCACAGAGCTCACGCCTCAAAGCGGTTGGCTCTCCGGTCCTCGGCATCCGGCATCCGCAGTGATTTGGCGTAGCCAGGACAGGTGAGATGCCGGCCTCAGTCATAACCGGAAAGCCTGTAAAAAAAACAATATGTGATTGACAAATGGAAATATATTATAAGCATAGAGTTGAGAAATCATGACGCACACTGCATTGTGACAGTAGATACTTTAGTGCGATTGGCAGAGGAGGGACTTATTGTAAGAAAACAATGAGCAATTGAGGCATTGACTTGGTTCTGTAGGTAGCTACCCAGTGTCCTTAAATTGATTTTTAGGAGAGTGTGATTGAAGCCGCAAGGACGTCAGTATTTCAAAAGGACGTCGATATCGGTGCGGAGCCTTAGCCACTGAAGATCCCTTAAATCTCTTAAAATTAGCGATTTTCACTAGCAATTTTGACTAATAGCATCTGAAGGCACCTCAAAGGATCATATATAAACACAAAGTAATGCCAGTTTACCCCTAGTACAATATAAATTTCAATCATTCACCACAAACACCAAAACAACACTTTGAAGATGTCTAGTTCTTGTCCATGATCGTACACAAGTCAATAACAAATATGCTTCAACAAAAATCAGCCCAAGAGCCAGCGGCTATCACTAAATATTGACGTCATAAGAGGGATATTATATCGAGCAAGAGGAGTGACGTAAAAAAGCAGACGTCCAAACAAAGAGGTGGAAAACAGTTAGGAATATTAATTTCCATAGCTTCCTGTTATGAAATTCAATTAAGAAAACTCCAAGGTAGACGCTGAATTTTTCTTGGCTGGAAAAAATGTGAAATCATTGTGCACTTTTTCAGTTTTGTACCGACGTCGATTTAATGGGAATGACAAGGTCAATCGACGTCCTCAACATTACGTGTATTTTTAAGCCAAGGACGACATACTTTAATTAAAACTGTTGAAATTCGGTAACTTTATTTTAATTCAAATAAATAAACACAAACTTTTTCCCCAACCACTATCAACATATGCAAAATTAACTACTTTTGAAGGGTAGGTTCAAGGGGCAGCGCTACCCCGTTACTGTGACCTTCTGAGGGGAAAACATAATTAAATATGTTACAGTGATTTGATACAAAAGGTATGTTGTGTGCTTATAGATAAATGTCGAAGTAATATATTCGCATGATTCATTTTTATCTATACACTGCACAGTTACTAAAACTGAAAAGTGGAAAACGACGTCCTCAGATCCCTCTATTCCAACGTCTTTTCTCCTTCATATGGCAGCTATTACCTTCACATGATAAAGGGAAAAAAACTATACATATCTGACGCACAGAAAACGAAAATAAAACCGCGTTGTTTACTGTTGGGCAGTTGGCCAGCGGTCTATGGCCTTGCCAGCGGTGTAGGAAACGGGAGTTGAGTATAAGAGTGGGTTTGTGAGGCCTTGGGATATATTTATTATCATTTTGCATAGCTGTGTTTTTAGGCCACAGAGGTGATATTTCTTTTTGTTAGTTTGCTTTTAGTGTTTCGATATACCTGTCGACTTTTATCTGTCAGGGACGTCGTTTGGCTTTCCGGGACGTCGCAAAGAGAATCTGTTCGGGTGTGGGTTTCCACCCAAATTCACGAAAATCAGGACACTGTAGCTACCTACCCTTCACATATGAATGTGGATGATTTGTACCATTAAGAAAAACCATAGGCGTAGGAGCGGAGGGGGGCATGCCCCCACTTTTCAGCTATGCTAATTTTTAAAGTAAAATATTTATTTTTCATTTAAATTCAAAACTAAGAGCAAGAAATGGTTCGGCAAGGTGAGATGAGCACGAAACTGCAAAGAATTTGTTCATAGGAGTATTAGGGTTCCCACAAAGTGACATTGAAGTTCTCTGCCCCCCCCCCCCCCCTCAAACTTTACGTGAGGTTCCTGCGCCCATGGAAAAAAACACATTGCATTATATGCATCAACACTTAACCCTTGCACGAGGGCCACAAAGCCCACTATAAAGCCCACAAGACACCATCTGAAATCAAAGCATGACAAATGATAGCATGTAGGCACCTGACGGCTGACCTACTACATATAACCTACTGAACAAAACATACCACATATATCAATATGTATGTGCAGATAAAGAATTTTTTTTTTTTTATAAATTTAGTCCGAATGGTTGAATGGGTGGATTTGAGGAGTCAGAGCCCGCACTAAGCATAGCTTGTTGTGCTGACCCTGACCCCACCACCCGATCGCGCAATTCCAGTTGTATGGCAGAATTTTGTCCGAACGTTTAACGTGCCCTCACGACTGGACACGGTCCCCTCCGCTCACTCACGTTACCTGGCTTCTGTGCGGCCCCTGCCACAGACACGCACGCCATTACACGTAGGAGCTAAATGTGGCCGCCCGCACCGGGGCTTGAACCGGGCTCTCACCACCGGCTTAGCGTCGAATTCCGGCGCTTTTATCCACTCGGCCACGGAGAGGACAAAAAGAAGAATGCTAGGTTGATACCAAGGCTGTTTAGTAGGTTGTAGGTATGCTGAAAGGATGAAAGACAGGTACCTATTTGTTCAAAAAAATATCTGATCTACAGTTCATATGAACATGCAACATGGGGTTAGGTAAGGTTTGATTTTTGTTTTGTACCAGACTGGAAATAATACACGTTATGCCTAATATGTCCGGCATAGTGGCGGGATTGCGCCGAAAATTTCAGCGCATGTCCGGCGTAGGTAACTTTGCATGCGCCGAATTCGGCGCATGGCGGCGGACGCCATAGCCTTGATATAGCCTTGATCGATAGATGTGCACATGTGCTTTATATAAAAAGGGCTTAATTTTCGCACTAATTTTTGGCGCAAATTACACAGAAATTTCAGTGTCTGGGTACCCACCTTCCTGTCAAGCTGATACTTGACACATCATCCTGCTATCTGAGGCGGCCCAGGAACCAGCTCAAGCAATTACAATGAAAGTCAACAGTCGTGCGGGAATTACACCACTCCCCATTAAAATCTGATATCAAGTAATTAGTTAATGACGATAATCCCGCCGCCACAAATCTAACGAAACACATTGACCTTTGATATTGATATTGATTGATATTCTGAAAAGAAATATCCATAATGATTTATAGTGAACGTGTTCTTACGCAGTTGTGGCATAAGCTGCGCATACGAAAAACACCCGCTAGACCAATTGGTGGCGAATAAACCTGTTGATGAAGAAATACTTGTCTCCCATTGGTCTGTGAACACAATCTGCAGGAAACGCAGCTAAAACTACAGTAAAATTTTGCAGCAAAATCTGCAGAAAGTAAGAAAAATGCAATTTAAACATATTTAGCCAATGAGTCTGACGGATCTGTTGATATATTCCGATAGATATTGAGCACGATCAGTCATTTTGAAAGAATTACGGTCCGACTCTCTTTATTTTTAAAGCAACGACGCATAAAAGAATTAGTGAAAAATTGACAAAAATATTTTCTTGGAAGAAAAAGTGGGACTTGCGTTAAATTAAAAATCAAAATTAATACACGGATCGAGACCTCGCTTTCAAAAGTATTTATCAGTACATTTTCGCATCGAATCTCTCTAAATCATGAACAAACTTGGGCAAAAACAGCAAGATTGCCTGTTTTGTCAATTCACGCATTTTCATATTTGGGGGCAATTTTAAAGTTGATGACCAATGTTTTCAAAGTCAACATTTCCACAGGAAAAAATACAGCTATTTTTCTTCCAAATTCATCCATTTGTAGAGTCCGACTCTCTCTTGTTTTCTCGCAGTTTTCGTTGTGCTCTGAGAGAAACGATCATGTGTATCATAAGCGTTTGGTTCACTTCAAGATGACAGAATTTGCACTTGCATTTTCTGCCGTGTGGAAGACCAGAGGGAGTCAGCTAATTTATGACAGAATGTGCTTAAAAAATGACTGGTGAATAATATCTTTTGTCAGTGTCTGACAAATATTTATAATTTAAATCACGCTCTTCAGCTGTCAAGTGAGTTCCAAATAGCTTAAATTGTCAGCTGTTTATCGTCCTAGGTCAGCTCAAGGTCACAGACGTCAGCTGAAGAAAGTGGTGACCATTGACCCTGTGTTGAGCGGACAAACCGGTGTTACCTAGTATTCTATGTACCGTGAGCTGTCACATCAGACCAGCGCGGGGGGGCATATTTACGTCTGGACAACGAGTTGCGGGGAAAAGTGCTGATTTTGTCGCAGTTTTAGGAGTCGGTGATTAGGCTGGTTTTTTGGGTTACTTTTTCGCTCCGATTCCTGTATTTCATAGTGTTTGGCTTTTGAATATTTTAGTTCTTTCAGAGAAATATTACTTGCCTTACAGATTTTGTAAAAATGTTTCAATTTTTATAAGCCGAACGTTAGAGTCCTAAAACAATACATCAGTACTACTATTATTGTAAACAAACAAACGGAGCACCACTTGGCTCTGTTCCAAGGCCTTTTTCGAGTTCATCTGGAGGTTTTCGTACTCGTGTACTCGTGTACGTTTTGTTGGATGTCTTAAATCTCTTGTGATTGACTTATAGCATATTAAAGAAGCATGTTGACTGAAAACAATCCCAAGTATCCAGGAGGAGGCTAAGAGAGGTCCTGATCGTCCTGAGCAAGATCAAGTTGAAGTTATGAAATGTTGGTTGATAAACGCAGGTTGATCTGGCTCACTTATCAGCAATAAAAGTAAAATTAAAAGAGCTTATTGGCTAAAAACAAGCCATATTATTGCAGGAGATCAATACTGAAGAGTACGCCGAGCAGTATCAAGCCAGAAAATGTTTGCTGATGATGATTGCATATTGTCTATTGATGTATTGGGATGAATAATTAATTATAACTTATAACAGCAAGATTATAACTATGAAGCGCTGACTATGAAGTGAAAAAATCTAGAATGAGCGAACTCAGGCAGCTTTACTTTGCTATGCAGATGGTAATGTGCATTACTCAAGTGTCTGGCAAATGAAACTTTGCATTTCTTGAAAAAGGATTTCAGTAAAATTGTGAATGTGACAAGCCATGCAACGATATGATCATATAATACGTGTTAATAGTCATTCGTGACAATGATCTTTGGTCCAATATACAATAGCAAAGCTCTCAGCGCTTCTTTCTGTGGATGGCCAGAAGTGTGACTCAGGATTTAGAAGTATTAGTCTTCTTCACAGGGATGTTATAAAATGTACTGGAGGGTTATCTTCCAGCAAGGAACTTTATTTTGAGTTGGTATGAGATGTAGGCACAAGAACTTAGGTGCTTAGTGCCTATAGTTAGTAGTTGTGTAGGTTTAGTTTGGTCAGGTTAGATTAGGTTATGCTAGTTTTTAGTTAATTTGCCAGGTGTCCATAAAAAATGTGACCAGGGCGGTGTTTCACGGGATGCTGCTACCACGCTGCTATCCAATTGCACGAACTGACGTCACACTTGTGGTAGTGTTGGAGCAATGGGCCTGTTGATGTTTCCATGGAAACCCAATTTGACACGTGTATAAGCAGCGTGCTGCTATCACTGGTGAAACAGGGCCCTGACTAACCTAACCTAACCTCAATCATCACACATATTTGCAATCTACTCATAGCAGAAGCACCCAGTTATATGATAGATACTCACCATGACTCAATCTTACCTGCTAACAACTTAAAAACAGCTCGCGTCAAGCCGTTGCCAAGTTAGCTCACCTTTGCCAAGCCGCATCCATGGAAACAGCCAAATGAGGAACTGGCTCATTGGGTGGCTGGTGTCAGTCTGTGCATTGAAAGTGTTTCTTCTCTGAAGCTGCTCTGCACTGCTGTATTGCCATGTTAGATGCTCAGAAAATGTGGGAAATGATAATTGAGATACTTTAGTGCTTTGTTCATGCTCCAGACATCAACAAGTACAAATTCTGCAGGGTACACCTATGAGCTAGGTGAGTATTTTATGTGAATGTGATGTTTGACTGTAGTAAATACACAAACAAACACAGGGTCACAGTTATATTCAATCTCCACATAAACACAACAAAAACGCCCAAAGCCTCACTCCGCGAGCACACCACAAATAACGCAAGCCTTTGCAGGCACCAAAATGCTTTGATTTACAGGATAGGTATACTTTTTATATCCTTTATCCTCTGGGATCTTGCTGCCAAGTTGAAGTAAGATGACTGAACTTCAGTATTTATCAACCTTTTCTTCTTATAGCCACTGCTATACGAGAATGACTAAATGCTTGGTTTGATTGATTAACTGCCTTGAAAATTTAATGATCGATCTTCAATTCTCAATGAAGGCACAAATAAAATAGTTTCCTCTCCTCTTGGAATACACAAAACAAAATATTTAATAACTTCTTAGTGGATGGACGAGAGCCTGATGCATGTTCGCTTCATATTTTGTAACAAAAGCGCAAAAACTGCAATATAACAGCACTATATGTTTCTGGACAAAATGCAGCGGCAGTAAAACCTTCCCTGATGGCATTCATTCTTAGCCAAATGTAATGACAAAAATATTTTGTAGTAACTATTAAATTCCGGCTAAAAACAGTGCACGGTTTGAAAAAGAATCATTCCAATGACGGTCCATTCTTGCGGTCCAGAAATCGCCACTATTTCCGGCCTCTCCAACGCAACTCGTTGTCCAGACGTAAATATGCCGCGGGGGGAGGGGCTCGTCTCGGTGGTTGGCGTGGGCTGGGGAGTGGTGTGGGGCGTGTTGGTGGACCATGGGGACTGGGCGGGTTGTGTGGTCACTTGCTGCATTGCACATTTTGCGTCGCTTAACAATTGCATTCCTGTTTTTGCTAAGCACAATGCACGGAAGACCCAGCGAATATAATTTACTTGTGCATTGTGCAAAGCGTGATTTGGCACGGTATCGAGGCAACCATAGGTCTTGTGCCACATATATGCATGATATTTAGGCAATACGCTTATGAAAATGGTAGATTGATCGGATTGATCCTGGAGTCAATTCGTATGCTAAATGTCGACATGTAATAAATGAACGAATGAATGAATCAATCAATCAATCGACAATCGACATGTAGATATAAAACCGTATAAATGGCTCGCAACCAATAAAATCAAACCAGATCCTAACTCGGAAAAGTAGCCGGAGCCCCGATGAGGCTCGAACCGGGACTCCACGTTGAAAGTTTTACCAATGATCCATCATCATTCCACCAAGCTAGAGCGACCGGCAACCGAAACCACATAAACATTCATTGACTTTGCTGCCGACCTCCCGGCCCCGCCGCCCGCCCGGCCAGACTTTGCCCCGGCCGTGGCCACCATCCGGTATAGCTCAGCGTAGGAGTGCTAGACTGTGAAACTGACCGGTAGTGAGAGGCCCGGTTCGGGACCCTTCGCGTGCTGGATGTTTATTTCTGTGTCCGAGGCTATGCGATTAGTCCACTTTTCAGAAAGATTATTTGGTGACAGGTCTGTTTTCTTTCTTTGCTGCAATTCATGAGGAGACCGTATGGACCCTTACCTGTCCTTCCGCACCCCACTTGGGAGTTGGGAGATGGGTGTTTGAGCCCCCCTGGGTTTTATGAATATCTCTAAAGCGAATTTTTGGAGGGTGGATTACGATCGGTTCTATGCGACAAGTGACCACACACACCCAGCCCCAGGTCCGCTCACTCCGTCCCCACATCACCCCCGCCCCACACCACACTCCAGCCCGCCTCATCCACCGAGCCGAGCTCTGACCTTTACCCCCCCCCCTCCCCCCAGCCGGTGTAACGCAGCGTCCGGTCAAATCGCTCTACCAGGCGACCCGAGCCGGTGTCATACAGTGTGGGTAGGCTGTGCCGCTTCACTCTCGGGTCATGCGGCACAGCCTACCGGTACCAGGCGGCTGCTGCCAATGCTGAGCCATAGGAACCCGGTGGATAAAGAGTAGGGGACCATCAACCTGTACACGACTGTACCACCACCACCCGATCCAACAGAACCAGCACCTGACCAGTCACACGTCTTGTAAGCTAAATCTCCCGATTTCAAGAGTCATGTGAGCAAACTTGACTGAATTGACCGTGACTCATAGCCTTTATGCAGCAGGTTAATAAGCTGGAGCGAATCCATTCTTCCTTATTAAAACTCTGACAACCTCCGATTAATTAATTAGCAACTTCTTGG